TGCGCCTAAGTTTTATGTACGAGGCATCATTCGCGGCAACTTTATCCCGTTTTCCTTCCGATCTCGCTTCGCGCTGTATGGCGTACGCGTGGCCCCGTTCCAGAGGCTGCTTTACTTCTAGCGAAGTTCCAAGACGTTCGGTCGACGGTGTCTAAACGCGGGAAACTCTCTTTCTCGCTGAGAAATCTACGGTGTATTGTGTATGTCAAGTTATATTGAACAGTCTCCTGCGCTCGGTAATCGCGTTCACGTGATCAAATCTTACCAAACAGAAAAACAGCATGTAACTACGCGAACACTCGACAAACTGTCACTCTTTCGTCGACACGAGTCGATACGAGTAATTTTAGTCTCAATATATCCGCAGTTATAAATCACTATATTACTAAATGATTTCTAGCCGTATAAATTATTATAACAGAATTTCCGTCATTTTATTAATATTTTGTAATAATAATATAAATATATATATTTAATATTTATATATACCTTTTTCTCTCTCTCTTTTTCTCTGTCTCTCTTAAAGATAAAAGTATAATATTTTAGCATTCTAGCTCTTGAATGATTACAAATGAAAGCGATTATTTACAAGGATTAGTGACTATTAGTGAATCTATCTTCATGCACGTAGACATCGCAAGCTGGCGCTCACCAGAGATATTTTTGGGCCGCCCTATACGCGCTGGATGATGATTCACGCTACGGGAAAGAGAACACTCAAACATCCAAGAAGACTCTACATCGAGAGACTCAAGGATGAATTGCGAATACACGCATAAATACGTGCATTTAAATTCGGAGCGCGTCCGCAAAATAGTACACGCGATACCTTAAACGACATTTATCTCGCGCTCCGTCACATAAGGTCCACGAACTGTCAGTGACAGGGGGAAAAAACGTTTTTTCTTGTCGCTGTTATGGGAATCTATTAGCATAGCGGGAATAGGCAAACTTTCGCATACGTCGGAGTGCTTTTTGACTTGCCGATGGACGCGATCCCTCTTTTCCCACGAATAGCCCAAACTTTCCATGTGTATCATCGTCGCCGTATAAGGGCGCGGCGAACATATTATGGAAAACATATTGCCATAATAATGCCACCCCGTACAAGATAAAAATCTCAATATCGATCGACGCTTTTTGCCGAGAGAATAATTTATTCGCAATGGAACGATTACTGTATCAATCGACGATATATCAAAACGCAATTACTTTATATATTTTTGTGAATAAAAAATATGCACATTTGATGCTAAAAGATGTTATTATAGAAGATTACGATATGTTCGCGTCAAATATTTCTTGCTATTCTTCACTTTTCTTTGTTTTAGCAAAGCATAAAAGATCAAACGTCATTAAAAACATATTTTTAAGCGTAAAATTAAATTCGCGATTCTCAATTAAAGCATTTCGCGCAGATTACGTTTCATGACCGTCAAAAAATATTTCCCATTTCCGCTCATCGCGCAAAGACGTTTACAAAATTTTCCTTGTTATTCGATATAATTCGTTCTACCTCTGAAGAAGATATTTGTTCGCCATTAGCGTAGTGTCTACCATGCATTAGCGACGCTATTATTATCGTGTTTGCTTTGCAGATACGCGCACGCGGTAACAGCGCGTCCCTTTGTTCCTCGTGGATACGTGTAAGTTGCGAGGAGCTCGTAACCGAGTAAAATGCGCATTTATTTCGACCTGGTTCAGTTATGGTAGTTTCAATGTGTTTACATTTGATTCTCATTATTTAGTTGAAGGCTACTTTTCTTTAAATGTGCCATTTCTCGTCAAAATACGCGATGCATTATTTCTTATCATACGGAATGTACGTTGATGTTATTAATTATAAAGGCTGCCTATCGAGAAAGAATGCCTATTTTATTGTATAAATTTTTCTTGTCAATTATATATTATTCTCATTTTATTCTCAGAAATAAATGAACTTTAAATGTAATATCAACTGAAAACTTTCCATGTATTTTTATTTAAAAGATTTTATCTTTATACGTATAAAATATTAAAAAATATGATGTATCGTGTATCTAGATTCGATTACGCGTTATCGAATAATGACTGCGTGTGCTTCCATTTAAATTCAGAGTTCAAGAACAGTGACAAAGAGAGAGAAAGAGAGAGGATAAATTGAAGAAATATAGATCGAGAAGAGAAACAGTAGCGGAAAGAGGAAAAAAAAAGGAAGACTCGAATTAAATCGACCATATCCGGAGCCATGAAAGAAAAACAACGACAGTGCGCGGGCAACAGTTTTACGATTCGGACGCACGACTGAAGGAACGGCGGAAACGATGGAGGGTGTATATACGACGAGAGAACGAAGAGATGCGAATTCCATTCCATTAGTCGGCCGTTAACGATCGAACGTGTTCGCTCGACTGTGTGCACGCAGGATATATCCACAGAGAGGTTCTGCGGAATGCGGAGAGAAACCTACTACTACTACTACCCGTCCTCCGCCCCGTATCACCCCCGTCTCGTGCCTCTTTCCTCCCGCGATTTCTCCCCGGGACGGCGTAAAGGATTTTCGATTACGTTTTGTCCCTGCTTTTGTTCCGCTCTGTTCGGTTTCAAGCCCACTTCACGTGGCCCTCTCTCCCTCCTTCGTATTACACGAGAAAACTCACAATCCTCCTCTCTCCTCCGATTCTTTATCTAATCATCCTTTGAGATCCTTTTTCCGAACAAAACCTATGCATTTTTCCCGATTTTTTACGCGTCGCGCCTCTTCTTTTTTTTTTTTTGTAATTAACGCGCAAAACTTTTCGCGAAATTTATTTTCCAGAATGAATCGCAACGTGGCTGTTGAAACTTATGATCAAGACTAACTCTGATGAATTTTTTGATTGCAATCAAAATAAATAAATAATGGAAGTATGTATATTTGAAAAATTCAACAATATTCATTAAACGAAGAAAAATAATCGTATAAAATTTTGAATTAAAAAAATAACTCTTTTAGATCTATATTGTATGTATATATTATCTTTCTCTTTAATTAAAGAATATATTATAAAAATACAATATATTCTCAATTTTTATCCAGTAAATGTTTTCCCCTGATGATCCAGTTCATTTATGTACAAAAATACAATCGGCATTATCTTTTAATTATATTCGAACAAAATATTTCAGGAAATATTTCGAATCACAAACTACCAATACGAGAACGAATTCGGCGAAAGAGGAAAACGCGGTCCTTCGGATTCTTCTCGTATACACTGCCGCCGAGAGCGATCTCTCGACTGCGCTGGAGTCTGGAAATTGAATTTCGGCGGCGCACACGCGGCTTTCTAATTCGAATTTGAGGTTTCTCGCGGAACATTCGCCCTCGTACATTCGGCAAAACGGCCGGATCAGGTCCAACGGAATTTATTCGACTTTGCTACATGGGGAAAGGGACTGGTGCCGGGCGTTGTGGGAAGCGGAGGAGAAAGAGAATGGTCGGGGAGACGAAACGAGAACGAAGGATCACGACCACAGACACCAAGCGAAAGCGCGAAACTATGGAGACTAACTGGTGGCAAGAGGGATTGCGAGGGATTTATAGACCGACGAAGACTTACGACACCTGCTCGTGCCTATGTACAGGGTGTTCCGGTTATAGAAGCGATTAAGATCAAAGATCTTTAATCAATGTCGTAATTAACAACAGTAAATTATAATCAAAATTTGCCATCTAATATTCATGTATTATGACCTCGATATAGAAAGTTTTACATAAGGATTATAGTAAAAAATTGTGCGCCGAAGAATTCATTCTATATAATAAAAAGATCGGTTGCTCTGGGAGGGGGAGACACTCCATGTATTATACATGCTCTGTCATCACTTTGAAGGCATCCACGTGCAAAAACATCTCAAATTCACGTCAGATGGCTGCGAACGCCAGTGGCGTAATGCGATAATTCCCAACTTCTCCAATTATCGTTTCATCCCCGCCCGCCTTTGCGCCTTTCGGGTCGAAAGACCGAGAAAGGAGGTCGCGAAGAAAATAAACCCGTAGAATAAGGCTCGGGCTGACGTTGCCCGAAATCGTCCGGGAGAAATAAGTATTCGCCGTGATCGGAATCGCGCGGTATCGGCGAGGATTTGATCGAATTAAAGTTTCGGCGGTGACGCGTCGTCAGAGAGACCGTCGTCGAGAGAGTCGATAAGCCGGCAGACAAATCTCGCGACAGAGATCTCATTAATTAAGGGCGACTCTGCTCTTTTGCGGATGATCGTGTTACTCGCGGTGGATCGTGTAGATCCGAAATAATTAGAAAAATCTAATTCTGATTTCAGACTTGTCATCTCGGCATCCTCAATAAATGAGATTCGAATCGTTCCAGGAACAATTTAATCTAATTTTGCATAACGTCGCGTTTGATTAAAATCGTATTTGATATCCTATGTATGTAAAGAGAGAAATATTTTCAACGTGCATATTTTACATTTCAATCTTCATTCGAGATGCGCGTCAGATCCAAATGTGTTGCAAATGATATATTAGCCTTTAAATTGAATTTGATTACCGTAGAAAAATAGCTCTTAATATGTAGAATTATTTGTGATTCTCTTTTCGTATATGCAAATTATATCATTTAAATTACTTAAATCTATCCATCAAATATTTCTGCGGCATTTACCCTAAAATGGTACTCGTGTTTTTTTTTTTTTTTTAAAAATCTTTTCCCAAAAAAGGTTTCTTTTTTTTTTTTTTTTTTTTTTTTTTTTTTTTTTTTTTTTTTTTAATTTGTATCAATATATAACATATCAAAATGCAAATTTTTTGAAAGCATTTTCGAAGAGACGAATGCAATAATATATCTTTCAGTGACAAAAAAGTAAAATTGGAAAATAAATTTGAAAAATTAAATTGCTCAGAATAGCTATATATATACTGCGGCGAGTACCATTCTTAGGATTAAGGTTATCATGCCCTTGTTTCATGCACGACGAACTCATCGATCGAGCTCATTTGACACTAACAAACTAAAACTCACCGATCAGTTTGCCAAACTGCGCCGGGGGCTTCCACTCCGGATAATGTCGTGGGAATCGCGCCCTCGACCAGTAGGTCCTCAGGATAACTTTGTATAGCGCCAGCTTGTCCTGCTTGTCCTGCTTCTCCTGTCGATCCTGGGCGTACGATCCGCATTGTCCGTGGACGGAGAGGAATCGCGTGGCCAGCAGGAGCAGCAAGAGCACCGACCACCGGTGCCACGTGCCACGAGACATCCTGCGGTGACATATGCACAAGGTAGGGAAGGATAAAAAATAAAATCGCCGTCGTGCCGAGCGCTATTATCCCGGCCGTGGCGCCCGGTATGCACGCGACACGTGTTAACATCCGCCGTACGTATGCACGCACGTATGCGTACGCACGTGTTGCATACTTGGGTCGCTCATTCCGTAACGCGACCGCGCGATGGAATTCGACACGCGCGCGCGTCACACCCGACAATTTTCCGTGCACGCGTGCGTGTACGTGTTTGTGTTGTGTGAGTGTGGGCGCGCCAGCAAAATATTAAGAGAGGAACGCGAAACTTTTAAAGTGCTCCATATAAGGAGACGTCAAGGGAAGATAAAGCTGCGAAACGACCTACTACTAGATGCAGCTACTTCGGATAGTAATTTCTACCGTTACTACTACACGATACCGTCGGGAAAGTATAAAGCTTATCTTTTATCGGTGGACTAAAATAAAATGAAGTGGAGCAACAATTCATCATGTCCTTGCGACCGTACAATCATCTGTTATAACCGTCGGTGGAAGAATACCTTGTCTCTAGAACTATAAGCGAAAAGCCATTGTCTGCATCTTGCATAATCGAATTATCATAGTGTCTGAATACACATTTATAAATAAAATATGAAATTTTAATTATTTTTAATTATTTAATTATAATCTCTCTCTTCGCAAGTAATTTTTCGCGGAACGAAATTCTGTCGCTTAATTAAATCGCAGTGCATATTTTATTTTCATAGAATTTTAATCTTTTTATTCCTTTCTCAAAATTCTCGCCAAAAGTAAAAATCGATTTTAAATTCATCGAATAATTCATCACTAAAGAAGCAACTTTTAGGGAAATCTCTCGGTTTTTCAATTACAACAATTAATGACGTGATATTCTGAAGCGTGCGATGCAAGAGACACGCGTGATAATTTAGAATAGTATTTACTTCAAAAGCGAATGTGCATTGCTTGAAAATTGTATTGTCAAATAACTTCGCGGTGGTAACCCCGTTTCGATGCGGTAAACAAAATTGATCCGAAGGCATGTCGATAAAAGAGGGAGAAGACGACGCGCTTTTCCCTCGCGTAACTACTGAATAATTCAGGGGCCGCTGAGAGCTCAGTGGGGGTCGTCTTTGGGGGTCTTGAGGTTCTTTTACATGGACGCAATCAAAAGGATAACGCGATATTACCGCGCGGATGAATAAAGTGCCGCGTAAAAGGCGATGTTCGGTAGGTCCGTGCCATTACATCCCCCAGACTTCCCTCCTCGTACCCCCCTCTGTCCGTTGCGCATAAGAACGTGCCGATTTTTTTCCTAAGTGAATCCATTATTTGAGGGAGAAAGAAGAGAACAAACGTTTCCCAATTATCATCTCACCCGCAGAAACGGTCGGGGAAAAATGTCCGCCGTAAAAGGAGGCACGTAGCTAGTAGACTACTAACTCTCTCTCGCGCACATATATATACTTCAGTCGCATAAATTTCGTCGCATTTTAAAACCTGCGTAAATCTATCAATCGAAGATCTCGGAAACAGTCCCTCTCGCCCCGGATACGAGCGGGCGACACAGTCGGCTACGCGATCGTATCTCGCGGCGGCTTCGTGTTTACATATGCAGATTCGCGCATTCAAAATTCAAATCGCATTCGAACCGCTTCCGATAGACCCCGACTTGACCACCCAATCGTGTCATCGCGAGTCGTCGAAATTTCACGGCGCTTCCGACTCGCTTTTTTCTGGCTGACCACTCGGCTTCAAGAAAAATCGCGTCGCTGGAATCGTTCCAATACCGGATTTCGAAACGATTGGCGATCTATCATGTGGCTATTTAATATGTAACAGAATATTTCTATCTCGAATAGAATTTGTCAAGTCGTTAATATTATTTCTGTGTATATATTAAATAATTTAATATTTATACAAATACAATAATTTAAATCATTCATATATACATATATTGGAAATTTTCTTCCAACAAGTTTGCACCCAATTTTTCATAGAAAGATAAAAATTCGACATATAATAAGATGTAGATATGTGTGTGCTTGATTTTGATAACAAAATTATACACGACTGATATTTTTCGTTTAAAAAATTAAGCATGACTATTTGCGATCAAATTTATATAAACATTTCTGTGCTGTATTATAAGCATTTTAAAAGAGAAAGAAAAAGAAAAAGAAAATTATACATTTAAAAATATTAATTACAGCATTAAAACTTGGAAGTTTTTTCGGTAAACACAAATTTCAGCTTTTAAGATAACCGTCCTATATTTTGTCGCTAGCCTTTCTGACGAGAGACTAAAATGTAAACCGAACAGTTAATGAAAAGCACACGAAAAATATTTATATCCCTTGCACAAAACTTTACCAACTTCGCGAATCCACCGTTAAATACTTCTTTACACCCCAGTACAGCGAGGTAACTACGAAACTTTCCATGTTTCCGATTCAGTATTGATCACGATGCTGTCCGATTGTAAGGAACCGAATCCAGAAACGATACGATTCAATTTATTTAGTAATTTATCTATCACGTCTTTTAAATACTAGTTTTTACTACTTGCCGTAATTATACATATACGAACAACTCATTTTACTGTGTTATTATTATATTACGTATCTTTAAAATGCTTTAAAAAATGTCCGCGCGTATCATATAATTTTATTTCCTTTTAATATAATTTGCATTTAATCTTTTATTAAAAAATTTATTTAGTCCTCTCTAAACTCCTAGTAAAATAAATATAATTTGCAATCTATTATAAAACCACTAAAAAATCAACGAAAATTATGAGGGGAAAAATTTTTAGATTAATTTCTCCTCAACACGAGAAGACTATCTACTCGAAATTTTATAATCCCTTTACCCCTTGCAGAAAAAAATATACGCGTGCACTCTTTCGCTCTATTTTTCTCCACGATATATCAACGTTGAAGTGGAGCAGTAGTGACCCGAGTTAAGTTTTTCCACGGAAACTCAATTATATTTTTACGCGAGAAAATATCTGTGGCAAACATCTCGCAGGAGACCTCAATTCGCGGCTCGCGTCAGTACGCGTTGCGTAAGTAAAAATCCGTAATTATAGTACGCTCTTGTGAGTCGGATCGAGTCGCGGGGGACGTGGATCCGAAGTAGAGTTCCGCGGAACGTTCTTGCGACCGACCGGGAAAGGGAAGGGAGAAGCAGAGGGAGGAAACATTATTTAACCGCGGTGGTGCAAGTCGCCGCACTCTCGGAGTAGCAACGGCAGTAGCAGTTGAGTAACTGAAAACCTTTTTTGCGCTTTACATTTCATTATGTTTCATTAGCGGGAGGGTAGGTGAAATAATTCACGCGCGAGCCGCGAGTTATGGTCCCCCCCACCGCTCGCGCGAGCGAGTAGGTACCCTCTTTCTCTCTCTCTCTCTCTCTCTTTCTCGCGTCATATGGAGGATCTGCATTGTTCGTTTTTCAGCTCCGGTGACCTTATTCCGTCATCATTGTCGTCGGAAAAGTGGGAGCGACGACGACCAAGGGAAATTGCGACGGCGCTGTACAAACGACCGCGGATGACGTGGAGAACTTCAGACCCGGGGTCCGTGTTTTCCTGAGGTCGGGCGGTTGATTAATTTAATGGCCGCGGGAGCTGATTCCGCTATCTCTCTATCTCTCTCTCTTTCTCTCATCTCTATCTCTCGTCGGTCTATTAGCGCAATTCTCCGCCCCGGTGTCTTCGAACTTCGCCTTTCCGCGCTTTCCGGTAAGCAACAAGTTGTCGCAAATCTGATTATTTGTTGGCACGTAAATAACGAAAAGCCCGGGAATCTTGTCCGAAAGGAAGGGGCTTGCATGAATTTGGAGCGCGTAACGTTTCACGGGTAAATCTTAATCGACAAACAGATGGAAAGGATTATCTCTCCTAAGGTAAGATTTCTCGAGAAGAAATTTGAAAGTAAAATTATTTTAAATTTCTCGATGCAATTACGATGACTTCGTTATTTTTATGTATATTTATATTGATCTCTTATATATTCCGATTATTTTGTAAAAAACAATCAATTTTATTTTTCGTAACCGATGCAATCACGATAGCTTTATTATTTATATATATATTTTTATCAACCTTTTATATTCCAATCACATCGTAAAAATCAATCAATTGTATTCTTTGTAATTTTGATGGGCATCGTCGTAACATCATAAAAATAGTGTTTCTTATGTGAACGTGATAGAAACTATGTTTTCATACAAATCCTAGATACGGATAATTGGGTTTGGAAAATTAATACTGCCATGCATTGAGGAATCTGAGACGGAACCAGGTTTGGAGTCGGGTCGAGCTCGGATTCAGGGTTCCAAATCGTGGTTAATGGAATCCCCCTCGCTAAAATCTGAGCTGTGCATCGCGTGAATATACGTAATAGTTACTGCGTAATAATAACCTTAACTCGCGCGGATACAACTCGGGTTACACAACAGCTGAGCTCTCGTCAGATGGCAAGTATCAAATGTCATCACCAGTTAATGAGCTAAAAACGGGGTATCCTAACGTGTATTGAAAATCTGTTTTTTTTTGTGCCGTTAAGCACATACTCATTATCAGAATATACATAAAATAAAAATTTATATCACACAGCTTTCGTCTAAGATTAAACATTTACTTAGAATTATAATAAAAAAGATTGTGTTAATCATAAGTAAATATATTTACTATTCTGAATTGCAGAAAGGGACTGAGAGATTTTAAGATGATTATATAAATCATCAATAACCGTGCAAAAGCAAAATATCGTGGCAGATATTAAATATCATTATCAATTAATAAGCCATAAAACGATATGCCATGAGATGTATTAAAAATTTATACTTTTGTGCCATTAAACATATGCTCAGAAAAATAAAATAAGAATTTATATCTATATATATATTAAATAAAATAAAAAAAATAAAAGTTTAAATAACTGAGCTTGCATCTAACAATAAGATTAATTATTTACTTAGAATTACAATTTAAAAAATATGGTAATTGTAAATAAATATATTTGCTATTTTGAGTTGTAGAAAGAGAGACCAAACATGTTTTGCGATCGGTATATAAATCGGATAACGGATAAAATAAAGCGAAATAGGCAATACTATCGACGAGCTCGACAGAGAGAACGGAAAAAAAAACTGTATGCACGCTTCACGGAAATCGTTGGCGACGCATCGGCGCGTGGGTCTCAATTCCACGTAAAAAGGGCGCCTTCAATCTTCTGTTTACCTCGACATTGAACGAGTAGCCGATCAAAGGACTTGAGCTTATTCGCGGAAAAGAGAGAGAGTGGCACACTCGCTTAAAAATGTTTTCGAAAATAAATTACCTCTACCTGCACAAACCGTGTCTACCCGCAATCACTTACACCCGTGTGTAAAATAATATATTTGTCACAAAACCTCTTAAAAATCTTTATAGAATATATTTCCTATTCAATAATATTTTCTATGAGGTGTTTTCGGAAGAGTTCTGTGTAAAAGTGATTTTTTACAGACTATCAAAATTGAAAAATATAACGAAAAAAATATAACAAAAAAGAAAGACATGCTCTGTGTTTTACATGAAGTTGCAGCGCACGATTTTTCGCAATAAATATGGCGTATGTGTGTGAACGTGTGCGCGAAAAAACGTTACGACCAATTTCTCGAGTCACGCGAAAAAATCGCGATTCCATCCCTCGTGGATGAAATTCTAAACCATACGTGGTAACATGATATATTGACGAGTACCAAGCTCCATCACCGATCTATTTGCAGCGTTTTTCGAAAGTGCGTCTTTCGCACAAGTCAAATATCGAGATAATAAAATCGAGAAATCGACCACGAAATGCAACGCTCTTTACCTTTTCGACGATCCGTCACACAAACACCTTCGATTAAGTCTCGTTCCCACCTTCCGTCTGCAATATTCTTCTCGGACTCCGAGATGCGGGCAAAATTGACAAGACAGTACTCGCGGGGGGAGGTGGGGAAAAAACACTTTTCACACGTATATATCACACAGACATCGCATCGCGGATCGTATTACGAGTCGCGGGAAAAAGGGGGAAGAACGACGAGACAGAGTTACTCCTCTCCTGACCGACTGCGTTCACCGAATTTACTACGCGAGATTTCCCATTACCTTCCTCTCGAAGAAGCGCCGCGACGACGACGACGACGACGACGAAGACGCTCTCGCCGACACGCGCACGAATTTGGTCACGGACGATTCCGGGAGAGGTTCTCACGTTTCACACAACCAACGCGGCCTCGGACCACGTCCACACGGTCCGCAAATCCCCCTTTTGCCGGGTGACGGCGCCGACGGATACACGATGCTTTCAGGTTGAGGGTCGCCGCGATACTGCGAGCGAGTGGGGCCGCGCTCGCGAACGCTCCTCCACCGAACGAACGCGCGTTACTTGCCCGCGCAATCCGCCGCGCCGCCACTTGCGCCGTTGCAGTTGGTCTATTTCAAACTCGCGCCCTTTCTCGCGCGTTACTATTTTCGCGCCTATTTTTCCGCCTGCATAAATAATTGTGCGTTTGCCGTTGAGAGTGCTATCTTTGATGACGCTTCTTCTTCACATATTTAAGAGAATCAGTTTCTCCTTGTACGAAAAATTCGGAGATATTGGATCAAATGTGCGTGAGTATTACTCAATTTCAATTACTTTGGTAAATGCGAAATAGGATTCTCACGCATTCTTGCATCGAACGTAAGAAGAAGGGGGTTAGAAATATTTTGAAATATATTTAAGCGCATGCGAGTATTTTTTTTCGGAGTAAAAATACGTTACTATTTTCGCGCCTATTTTTCCGCCTGCATAAATAATTGTGCGTTCGCCGTTGAAAGTGCTATCTTTGATGACGCTTCTTCTTCACATATTTAAAAGAATCAGTTTCTCCTTGTACGAAAAATTCGGAGATATTGGATCAAATGTGCGTGAGTATTACTCAATTTCAATTACTTTGGTAAATGCGAAATAGGATTCTCACGCATTCTTGCATCGAACGCGAAAAGAAGGGGGTTAGGAATATTTTTAAATATATTTAAGCGCATGCGAGTATTTTTTTTTTCGGAGTAAAAATACGATACTATTTTCGCGTTTATTTTTCCGCTTGCATAAGTAATTGTGCGTTAGCCGTTGAGAGTGCTATTTTTAATGATGCTTATTTTTCACATATTCGAGAGATCAGTTTTTCCTTGTACTTTGATAAATGCGAAATAGGATTCTCACGCATTCTTGCATGGAACATGAGAAGAAGAGTTAGAAATTTTTTAAAATATATTTAAGCGCACGTGAGTATTTTTCGGAGTAAAAAAAATCTATGTGGATTATGTGTTTTTTTTTCTATTCTAAGAAATCTTAGAGTGCCATAGCACTTATATTTTTTTGCACGTATAAAATGCAAGTACAATTGATAGAAATTTTTTATCTGCACGAACGAGATTTTTGATCTACAGCAGACAATCCTTCTTTATAACTTTCTTATTTTTTAAATATATTATTTTCTTTATTCTCTTTTATAATGTACTATTTAAATATTAAAATAAAAAATCATTTTTCACTCAAAAATAATATATGCGCAGCGATGGAGTTGAAATATACAACACTGACCTGTAAAATACAAACATGTATATTGAAGTTAAAATAGAGTTTAATACATAATTAATATTAATAATTATTAATATTTTAAATATTTAATTTTAAATATTTAATTCAAATAAAATAATTCAATTCAAATACTTAATAATTCGTAAATAAATAATATTTCAATAATTAATATGTTAACTTTACTTTAGATGGTCTATATTTGCGATAAAATTTGGGATAAAATTATTAATAATATCACGTATCGTGTAGAAAACATTTGAAAAATTAATGAATATACATTAACAAAATATATATCAAAACATATACATACTTTACAATATATTTACGGCATATAAAATTATAAATAAAATTCTATATGAATTGTGGTATGAATTAAAGATTGTTTAAAGCGGGGTTATAATAATTATTGCACGTAAATAAATATTTTATTTAAACTGTGAAAAAGAGAGACAAATATTATAAATAAAAAATATTATATAATCTTCGAAAAAATACAATTTTTTTAGATATTTATAAAATGTGATATACATAA